TGTTATATATATATATATATATATATATATATATATATATATATATATAATAATTCTGTATGCAACTAACTTGGTCAAAATAAGCCAAGTGGATCGTAGATAGGAAAAGAGAAGGAACTCCCTCATGCCCATCAGCACATGCCCTATTAATTATCTGAATGACATTTAAATAAGCATTCAAAATAAGACGTCTTGAAAGATGAGATGATCGACAAAACATAGACACATTACATTGTCTCAAAACGATCCACGTTTTCCGTCAACCTTTTCCTCTTTATGTTCTTAGTTTTTAGTTATATGAAAACATTAAAAATTACCAAATGGTCTTTGACTTAGCGGTATCGTAGTCTTTGGCTTTCCAGAAAATCAGGGGTTCAAACTTCACCAAATGTGAGGAGGATGTGTGAGTTTATTTATTACATTTGTCATATATAAATATCATATACTTCAAAAAAAACATTAAACATTGTCTTCAAGGTTTTATCATTTACGTATAGAACGTAAGTAAGATGCTCTCCAATAGATTTAAACAAGCATAATCTTTATATTTTTACCAACTAATAATTTTTCTCTTAATTAATTTATTCCTGTTCCAAACTCTTAAACGTTTATGCATTAATTAATTACTAGAAGCGTACTCGCGCAATACAGCGAGATACATCGTGATTTTAATATTTCATTTTATTCTTTATCTCAGTCGATATTATAATATGACTTTATGTGATTTTAAGAAAGCGATGGTGTTTTTATTTTTGAATAAAATATATGTTTGAAGATATCATAAAAATTTGACAAAAATATATCGATATTAGTATCAAATTAACTATTTGAAATTCCTTATTTTTTTGTGTAATTTTTTAATTCAATTTTTTTTAATTTATGTACAATAACGAAGTAATTTATATTTGGTTTAATAATATAAATTTTTTAAAAGATAATAAGTATTTATTTTGTTGGAACTCGATAATTATTCTAATTATATTTTAGATTTTTTATATTTTAAAATGAGATGTTCATCCCCTATTTGATTATGTTTATCCGCAGTTATTTATATGAATTCAAACATCGAGCTTTAATAAGTTGTACTTATGCATAATTACTTGTAATCTTGAATTTTAAGTAATATGCATCAATATACAGTACTTAATGCATAACAAAAATATATCGATATTCGTATCAAATTAACTATTTAAAATTTCTCATTTTTTGTATAATTTTTTAATTTAATTTTTTATTATAATTTAATTTAGATACAATAACGAAGTAATTTATATTTGGTTTAATA